CGATTAGAATTTTTAGCAGTAAATGACATTTTGAGACTATCGTTTTGTCAAAAAATAATCGCAGCCGTCTGTTTTTTATTGGTGAAACTGGCCTCTGCACAAGATAAGAACTCCGTGGTAACTAAATATCGTCAGTGGCAATTTGTTGGTGTATTAACCCTCGCCCTGGCAGGGCATTTTTCATAACACGGCCTGGCAGGGGGGGGGGGGTCGATGCGACCCCCCCCCCTCGCGATTGGCTCCTATGGCACCTAGAAACACCAAATTTGGTAGGTAGGTGGGCCCCCTGGAGTTCTCGCCCCTGTGCAAATTTGGTTGCTCTAGGTCAATATTTAGGGGGGTTTTGGGGGGTATGAATGTAAAAATTTCGCTAAAAACAGGTCAAAAGTTTTTCGCTTATAACTTTTGATCTAATTAAGATAGAGCAAAAAGAAAGGCACCAGTGAACTCAGCACGTCAAGGCGCGTCGAATGATATACTTTTTAGCTTGCTTAAGTGTACTTAAAGTTTTTCTTAAATTTTAAGTAAACTTAAATTAATAAATTAAGTTAAAGTTAACCAAATTGCATCATATCGCATATCATTCGATTCGGCTGATCACCAGGAACACAATGATACCATTTTTTAAGCTCTAGCGTCATTATGTGCCAAGTTATTGGCAAAAACGTCATTTGACCTCCGTTGACCTCATTTGACCTGACCCATGGATAAGTACACCAAACAAAGAAGCACCAAGTGACCTGCTGTTAAGTACTGTGGTTTCAAAGCACAAAAGTGATAGAACGAAGCGGATATCTCCAGTATTTTCCGAATTTAGTATTTTCCCATAGGCTTTACATTACGACCTAATGACCTCTAACTGACCTCAGGTCAGTGACCTCAAAAAACCCGAACTATATGTTATACAACTCGGTGAACTTAGCACATCCTGAAAGTTTGAAGGAAATCAGTGCAAAACTGTGAGTTGGACAGGTGCAAAAAGAAAATTGAAATTTGACCATGACCTTGTACCGGTTTTTCTGACCTGGTGACCTGACCCAAGGTCACCCGGACCTGAAATTTTCAGTTCATATGTAAAAAGGTTGCCCCATAGGCTGTGCCAAATTTGGCGGCGCTGCGCGCCGCCGTTTTTACGCTATCTTCGAAAAACCTTAGGGGGGTCGCATCGACCCCCCCCCCCTGCCAGGGCGAGGGTTAACTCATGGGGAGTTCCCGAGTTTTCTGTCGGAAGCCGTCGGGGGCTGGCGTAATGTGCTGGGTCATTGTCTTTCATCTATCCTAATGTGCTCATCCAGTGTCTTCGTTTTTTTTTGCCATGTCTCGGCAATTACTTTGGTTGGCTGCGTTCAGTGTGCTACGTCGGGCAAGCTGCGGCCAGTGCAATAACAGTGTTATTGTTATTGCGTATAAACTCGTTTAACTTGACCACCTTGAAGAATGTAGTCGCGATGCTTTGTCTACCATGCAAGACTTCATAGAACCCTTCACTTTGTTCAAAGTTTTCATAGCTCTCATAGGCCGTAAGTTTAGCTGCGATGCGAACACTTGAGAGTTGAGGCACCGGTTGCGCGGGGTACCGGGTTAGTTTATCAATAGTCGACGTAGCAATGGAACCGGCAACAGTCTGCGTTCCCAGTGCTTGATACCGGTACTCAATCTTCTCTCAGCCGGCATGCGAGGCTTTGGGGCTTTGTACACAGATTGTGCTCCCATTTGTGTAGTCTGTAGTCTATGCTCCCAGTCTGGGTACGGTCTGGTACCCAGCCGGCCGGCCGGCGGTTCGTTGGGGTCCTGTACACAGATTGCGCCCCCAGCCGGGCAGGGGACGGCTCGCCGCCACAGGTGGCAGACGGCGCCTGTTTATTTGGCCCCTGTCGTGAGCTCAGAGGCCGGTCGGGGCTGGTCGGGCCGTAAGAGGGCGAACGGGGGTCTACCGACGGAAGTTCGGCGAATGGTGGAGTCACCACTTACCGTCTGGGGAAGTTGGGCGCGATAGGGATGACAGCGTCTTATTGTGTCGTGTGTATGACTTGGAAGCCTATCAATGAAGCCATTTCACAGTAGGACAAATTACGTCCGTGTAAGCATTGGCCGCCAAGCTCCAGTCTATTTATATTTTGGACGTTCAGCTCTGTCTGCTGGGGTGACCACAGACCTGCTCTCTGTGTGCTAACTGCTGAGTGCCCGCGCGCCGCGCCGTGGAGCGGGCGGCTCCGTCGCGTGATAGGTCTGGGAACAGACTGAGCCGATTCTGGGTTATCTGTGCCGAAGTGAAAGTAACGGGCCAGGCGGGGCGGGGCGTAGATAATTATAACGGTGACGGCGGACGGAGGCCGGGTCGGACCACGGCCGCAGTCCGCGTTGGATGTGCCTCTGGTAGCTCAGTTGGTAGAGCGGTGGACTGTAGCGGTTCGTTCAGGCATCCATAGGTCGCTGGTTCAAATCCGGCCCGGAGGACTTTTTCCTGCAATTGAGCTAGCTTTTAGAGCCAGTAGAGCAGACAATTGTGCCGTTCCTGCTCAGTGCTCACACGCGTATGTAGAGCGGCGGAGTCTCGCACCCGCCGTCGGCTGATGCCGGCTCGCATTCGGCGACGGGCGGTGTTTGGCCATTTGATCGGCCGTCCTACCGGGCTGCCTTTCACGAACAACAGTCGTCGAATCTCTCGATCTTATATTCGGCCAACCCAGCTGACTTCAATATTTTTCACTTTCTATGACATTTTCCTTCTCACGTGGCATTGGCATTTTGCGATTCCGCCTGTGCGCATGCTTCCTCTCCTAGATGTAATAACGTCATCTACCGTCTTTTTTCCTGAGACTAGGAGGTGGCTAAAATGACGGAAACGACCAATGCATGTCGTTTCTCTTCCTATGCGGGCTATGCATTGGGCTTTTCATCAATCCAAATATTATTTTAAACAAAAACAAATGACAAATCGGACTACAGTTTTCAGCTTCTGCACTCTTCGTCTGGTTAAACTGAAATGGAATGAATACAATAATTGGACTGGGCGGCGGCTCGTGTTCAGGCATTGTCGGTCATTGCACCTTCGCATTATAGGGTCTCATACGATTCGGAAGTGGCAGTCTTTTTATGCAGCTGCCTGACTGACTGACTTTGACAATCGCCTTGCATAAATGTCCGTGATGAACTGGCTTTTTGTCTAATCTGGCCCAAAGTTCCTGCGTTTTGTCTTCGGTAGCGGGTCTAAATCTGGTGTGTTTTAATTATTTTATTTCTTGTACAACTTTTGCCCACAACCAAGACAGTTTCCGACTCGTAACCAGGAACAAGTATGGTTCTGCATTAGCAGTGCTGAGCCGGTCGAGGCCAGGAATCGGCGGGTGGACGGAAAACTTCGGTCCCGTCAGCGTAGCCACCCGGTCTTCTGGCGTCCCGGTTACGACCTCTCCCAGTTACTTTACGGCCCTGTTATAATCCCGAGCTTCGTAGCCCAAAAACTCGCGGAATCCCGCGAACTAGGCGCAGTGACGTCATTACAATCCGGTGACGTCACGGTGCGCCCGGCAACCGGTGACCCGACTCCTGAACTCGAGGTCAGGTTCAGAATAGCACGGCTGACCTGACCTGCGTCGCCGGGCTGAGGCGGGGAACTGAGCCGGAAGTGTGACGAAGTTTGGCCGGTGTTGTGACGAGTTTGCCCAACACTTTTCATGTGTGAACCACGCGTCAGGTTTGTGGCAAACTTGACTGACATTTGGTCGTCTTAGAAGTTTCCGTCGGCTAATGCTAATGTGATCAAATTAGGCAGGCTTGGCTAACGAGGGTGAAGGAGTTGAGAGCACCACCAGCAGTGGGGTGATTGGGGTTAGCTTTGCTGCCTTGACATATAAGATTGATGTGTTTGGAACATATGTTTTTTAACCATTTGGCTGTACCTCAGCCGCATAAATATTGTCGTTACCAATACCCAGAGCTAGTTACATATCAGATGAATCCGACACTAACACAATGCATGGTCTATAATACCGCTGAGTCTAGCCACAAGCCAGTATACCCAGACATTAACCAGCTAGATTCCAAGACACCGTGATCCCTCAGCCAGCAAGAATTGCCAGACAGACAACATGCACAGCACCGTTCCTCACCGGCCCTGTCCATCATCAGAAACTCCTCAAAGCTACTTAGGTCACTGCTTACCCGCTCCTATTGATCATCCCCACCAACCAATTGGCACGGGAAAGACCAATGAACAATGCGCGTAGGTTGGAAGCTTCTCGAATGAGATCACTACGGTACACTTCTGGATGAGTAAATCGTCTTCACAATGTGCCAAAGGCGTGCAATTCCTGGTACCGTTTCCAGTTTGTTGGAGCTCGACGCCCACGCAGCTCCCCCTCCCCTCCCCAGGGAGTGGGGGAGGGGGTGGCGGCGATGACGTTGGTTTGATAGTAGCGTTAACGCCTTTCTTTTGAGCATCATAAGACGCGAGTATTCTTTGGTGGATGTAGACTGTAGATGGGGCTGTGGAAACAATGCCGCTGCTGAGATCACTCTGCGCCAGGTGCGAGCCCCGACCGACGGCCATATAATCACCGCGCCCCAGAGCGGACGGCAGTCTGCTCCCGAGTGTTGCACTACTGTGATCGCAATGGCCGCCCTGTCGAGCACTAGTGGTGCCTTTCTGTGTCACTGGGGCCGTGGTGACCCGTACTGGAGACAGCGGCTGCCCCTGGCCCCCCGGGCAGCCTGTGTCATTCAGAGGAGAAACAACGGCAAGGCTCGTGCCGTAGGACGCCGTCAGGTCAGCCAGCCCCCAGTGGTATACATAGCTTGGAGTTTGCGGGCCCGTTCCTTCATTTTCACGCTAGTTGGCTTCTGTACGCGGCGTAAACCTTCCATTACTTGATCAAATACTGAAGGGTATTATTTGGAGAGCTGTCTTTCCCAGCACCGCGCCGATGGGAGATGTGATTGCGAAAAGAGCATTGACTTTGTCCCTACCTGACGTCTCCCCATGTGTCTGTGTGTTGCAGAAGGCGTCCTACGGCGTGGCGGCCGACCCGCCGACGGACATAGTGACCGTGCCGCCCATCTCGGTGGCCAGTCTGGAGGAGTTCTCGGCCATGCCGTCGGACGACGTACCCCACAGCACGGCTAACGGCGAGCACGCCAAGCCGCCGGCCGTGCCCGGCGTGCCGGCCACCACCAGTCCGAACCAGGTCAGTGGGAAGAGGGGACTGGGTGGAATGAAACAGGGGTGGACTGGGTGTGCGAACATTTGATGGAGTGGACTAGGCGAATAAATAATTTCGGTACAGCTGTGATTTCATAGTTCGTTGCAGTTAATTCGATTTGATTACAGGTTTTTGCCGGTTAGGAATAGCATGTGTTGGAAATCGACTGCTTCCCCAGTGAGAGGATGGTTTTGTTGGGAGCTGAAAGGCGGAGATGCATGTTTATTTGATATTGAAGAAACGCCATCACATCCATGCCTTTTACTCCGGTATCGGAGGAACACCTTGCCGCCTATACCTGGCGTGATGTTTACGACAGCAGTGTGGAGTGCTCGGTTCGGCGCACTGCGAGGGCGTTTTGAAAGTCATTTCCAGGTTGTGATTTCAATAATCTCTCTAGTTGACTTGTCGCGGAGCAGATTGGATGTCATCGGCAGGAAGCCGTTTTGGGATCGATGTCGTCAGTCAGGTTAAGTGTAAGCTGATTTTTACCGAAATGTATATCACCAGGTGCCCTCTGTATTTTTAAGTCGGTCTGAGTCTGAGGGAATCACTTCGAAACCACACGAACCATCCGATTTCGAGTTAGAATATCTACTTCAATGACAGGGTCTACCTTCCGCGTAGTTGTGTGGTAAAGCTCGCTTTGAGACGCTTGTCTGACATTTACAGAATAGCTTTCGAAATGCATCTGAAATGTCCTTTGTTAGAAAGCATCAGCATTCAGAATGTTCTCCTTTTGAGTGAGGCGCTGTTAACATAAAATAGAAGCATTGATCAGGTTAGCCCTTACGAAGTGTGCAATATCAACAATTCCTGGGAGGGTTGCGGCATGCAGAGACAGGCCACTCTTAGCCAGCTACCGCCTTCCAGTCGCCAGCCGCCCATTCGCCAGCCGCCTCACCCATTAGTCCCGGCCTGGAGGGTAGTTACCGCTGACATCTGGCTTCTGCCGGCCGATGGCGCTGGGAAAGTTCTGCACATGCATAATTAACGTGTTCAACTTGCAGCTCAGATGTCGGGAAGGTCAGGCAGTTGACGCCGATCGCTGACGGCATCTAGAGAAATGGCTTTACGACCGGTGTAGCTTTGCTGGTCGTTACGGAACTTCTGCTCGTGAAGGTCTCCGTCCCTAGAGGAGCGTTCTTAACCCTCGCCCATGTAGGGGGGGGGGGTTGGTGCAACCCCCCCCTGAGGCTTTTCGGAAATAGTGCAAAAACGGCGGCGCGCAGCGCCGCCAAATATTGGGTACCTTATGGGGCAAACCTTGCGCATCTTTTGATAAAAAAAAAAAATTAATTTGACCGGGTCATGTCAGGTCACGGAGTTATGACGTCACAAAGGGAACAGCCTCCGGCCGGATTTTCACAAACTGAGTGCCAACGCCCGAGGTTTCCTGCCGGTGGTACGGACATCGGTTGATGGATCGTGATGAAACTTCCCATGCATGTTGGGGCAAGTATTGGCTATCATAAGGTATAAGAAACTTGACCGGGTCAGGTCAGGTCACGGAGCTATGACGTCACAAGAGGAACAGCGTCCGGTACTATTTTTGAAAAGCGCCCGAACCACTATTTTGCTAATTCTTGTCACCTCAATGGGAATATGCAGCAATATTAGCTTCTATAGGGAGCAAATGGAACTCCCAAATCCAAAAATACAATCAGATTTCAAAAATTTAAATTTTGATTTTTCGAATTTCTGCCGCCGACTGTGACCTTGCCGACTTCCGGCGCTCCCAACGCGCCATTTTTAGAGCTAGGGAAACGAAATACATACCAAACGATAGAGAATTGATCAAGGAACACGATAGTGAAGGTTTCAAGTCGATATCTCCCACCGTTTTGCCGCAATCGCCGCGGAAAGTTGAAAAAAGTCTATTTTTCCGAAAATTTGACCTTTGACCGGTCAAAAGTAGGTCAAATGTTGACCTAGGACCAAAAAATATACCACCAATCGCGAGATCTCGGCGAGAGCAATCCGTTGGTCTTTTCCGCTAAGCTCTACGACGCTCCGTTTTCAAACGCCAAGGGGGGGTCGCACCAACCCCCCCCCCCCTGCATGGGCGAAGGTGGCAGATCGCCGTTTACGGGCGAGGGTTAACATGCATTCCAATGTTCAGTTACAGCCCTGCCTAGTGAATGGCCTAGATTTTTTTTTGGTGTAATTCTTTCAACTGCATTGTTTAACCCTCGCCGGACCTATTGGTTTTCTACATACGCGCCGGCCGAGGGGGGGGGGGGCGGGTACGACCCCCCCTCGCCGTTTCGCCCCTGGTGGAGCTAGCGCGTCGCGGAAAAAACGAGTGTGTGCGCCGTTACGAGACGCAGAGATTGGTACCCGATTTTAAGGTCCTAGGTTTTTTTTTATAATAACTTGTTTTTTATACCGTGCGGTGTTACATTGTATGACGAGGGTATTGGAATAGCCCATTTTGTGTGGAAATACCTGATGATGTGAAATGAAAAAATAAATAAATAAATAGGTCAACCGGTGACCTCTGAGGTCAGGTCAAGTGCCCCGGGGTACGGTTCAGTTTTTGGTGAATAACTTCGCAAAAAACGGCCGCAGAGCCGCGAATTTGGCAGCATCGTGTTCGCCTCGCTCAGGCGCGTCGAATGATATACTTTTTGTTCGGGTCAGGTCAACTTGGGGTGTTGACCTCAGGTCAAGGTCAGGTCAGCACCCCCAGGTCACGAAGTTGGTCGAAAGAGGTCATGTCGCATATCATTCGATTCGGCAGGTCTTCCTGAGTCCATTGGTGGCTTTCCCGACTCGCTAGCTCAATTTGATCAAGAGTTATTGACGAAAAACTAATGTGACCTTGATGACGTCATAAATGACGTCACGCAAGGTCAGCATTGCAAAAGTGACGCATCTCACCTTGCAAGGAGTGCATCAAATCACGATTATGTGTGCTTGAGATAGTTGGAGATCGTTCCCGGCGCCAGAATAGCAGTTTTCATTTTTCCCCATTGACTTATAATGGTGAGGTCACGAAAATGACCTGACCTCATATGACCTTTAGGAAAAATCCGAGATATACAAATTGTGAGACTCATAATGGATACTAGATCCTGCAATTTCATTTCCCTGTGACATCTCCTCTGGCAGTGAGGGCGTTGCGAAGCTGCGACATCTGAAGACCGTGCAGAGGTTCACTTATGACGTCATAGGTCAGTGACCTGACCTGACCCAAAAATGCGGTTGGTGTCAAAAGATGCGGCTTGGATCAAAGGTCAGGTATGCCAAGTTTCAGCTCTCTATCGCCAGCGTGTTCGGAGCTATCGCGAAAAAAACCCTATGGGGGGGGGGGGGGGCGGCACCCGCCCCCACCCCTCGGCCGGCGAGGGTTAACTCCAGCTCCTGCGTTCGAAATTTGCACTGGGTCTTTCCCCCGTTACATTCCAGGAATGCCCTCGCTGCCTGCTGAACCCCATTAACACCTCCAGTGTTGGGCTGGCCCGGACTTACCGAGCCGGGCAGCGGGCACAAGTGGGGCCGATGGCGACATTGCCATCTGTGGCCACCCTATCGGCTATGCATGGGATCGTTATGGATAGCGCCGTTGCTCGCGAGGGTGACCGTCAGCGCGAAATGCGCCCCGAACGGCCGACAGATGGACGCGCGACGCTCTGCTATAAGATGAAGACCAGGGATGGGTTGACGCGGCGCATCAAAGACAGCCAGAATGGTGACGAACTATGAGGACCGCGCTCTTGAGCAGTGGTTTGTTGAAAAAGCTACGGGGCTGTAGATATTGACTTGCCTCGCGCTGCTTTTTGCTGCATTCTACCCAACCAGATCAGTTTTGTTCTGACCATCAGTATTCTAAATAGGAAAAATAATAATTTAAAGTTGATATTTTACCATCTTTCGTTCGTTACTTTTCTTCTGAATGATATTCGAAGTATTCGAGGGTAAACAGATCGCGTTGCCTGTGTGTTTCCATTCTACAATTGAGTGTCGATGCTGTGCTCTAGCTCCGTCTAGCTCCAAACCTTAGCTCCGTCTAGCTCCAAACCTGACCGGCGACCACGTCTGGGCGCACACTGTTGTCGGTATACACATTCCCAGGGTGTGACACGGCCCGGTCACGGACTGGGCACGGGGCCAGCGGTTTGATGGACCGGTCACGTTTGACGCCATGACGGCCAAGAGCCGCCGATGAGCGAGACACAGGTCCCGTGACGACCTGCGCGCCCCAGCGGCGTGTCTCCCCGGGACTCGGGTGCCTTTATGGTTGCTCCTGAGCTGGCTCAAGTCCCAGAGTAGCGAAGTTCCGTTCGTATCCCGGCTAGTGTGTGTCGTTTGGAAGCTAATGAAGCTATATATTAGCATCTTTTGTGGATAAGCTTTATCCGATCGACGAGCCCCCGAGGTAGCTGAAGTTCAGGGCCTTTATGGCCAGCCTTTGTGAAAGGAAGGCGGTGTGCTCCTTTGTTCTCACTCGCTCCCGGGTCGGACCGGAGTGGCGAGTTGTTGAGTGATGAAGATAGCACAGCGAGCGACGCTAATACGCTGCTGTCTCTTCTCGTCCAATAAAAGGACCTATGGATGGCCTTCGAAGGGTCCAGCGCAGGATCTGTTCCTGTTATTTGACTGTTCCAGGGGCTTTGGGGAACACTGCAATGTTCACGAGATACCCAAGCGTCGAACACTTCCGCATTTTAAATTACCCAGGCGCCTGCTGATTAACTAGTGTACTCTCTTCAATCTATCGCGCTGCAGCTCGTACTGTGTTGACCCCGTGACCCTCACGGTCCGCTCGCTGGTCTCTGGGAAGTCAGCTCCGCCTGCTGCGCTCCCAGCACCTGTGCCGTGCCGTGGCCTCGGCCAGTCTCGGGGGCCGGGCTGGATGTTGGGTCGATTGTTGTCGGCCCGCGGGGCGTAAATGAGTTCGAGGCGCCCTGGCGCCTGTCACCGGCCGGGCCTGTGATCACCGACCGCGCCAAATGGGGAAATTTCGAACGCTGCACGACGCC